TGTAAGATCTAGATCTCTTGGGTGCACACACTGAACAATGCATTAGAATTTAGTAGCTGTTACTCATCTTTGTAGATAATATCCTTCAAATAGTGGTAAAAGTAAATAACATTTCTCATTTTATTTGATATCAGTAAAATTTGTTTCCCTGTCTGAAAGTGTTTCTTTTCTGAGTGGGAATCTGCTGCTCTATTAAGCTTGGAACTGATATGTTTTATCACCTTTTCTGAGTCCCTTTCCTTCCACCCCTACTGCAGTGACTGTCAGCATCTGCATGTCACATCTTCTAGGTAAACCTGGTGAATTATAATGATCTTGCTGCCTAGACTTTATATATAGATCTCTCTCTGACATCACCCCTCCATAGAACACATTTTAGATGGGAGAGGTCTCCTTAATCTGTGCCCTTTAATCAAGAATCACAAATTGGTTAGGCTCCAGATACACTTCCTTTTCTGCCTCCTCTCTGAGGGTGGTTTTTCACCTCATTGGGATAATTGTGTGAAATTCTTAAACAATTTAAAAGCACTGGGTTGCAATAAAACAAATAGTATTAGGAATGTAGAGAAGAAAACAGATTAAAACAACATACATTCCACCTGTCTCAGATGGTTTAGCCACAATAAATCCAGCATCACAATGGTACAGTACCTAGCACAATGGGGGGTTCTCCCCTTTGCCTTCCCAGGGTTCCTCAGTTATATCTTTTCAGTGACTTTGATATGCCCCCTTGCCACCTCAAACACAGGTATTTACCCAGGTGTACCATTTGGGAAGATATTTCTTATTAAATATCAATTGTATGTATCTCTAATCTATTCAGGATTATATTAACTGCTTTGGATTACAAATTTTGCTGTCTGTCGGTCTTGTCCCATTTTTACAAGTTTAAAACTTTGTTGGTTCCAAACCCACCTTCACATCTGGAGCCCAATCCTACACTCAATTATACCAGTTTTGGAAAATCAGGTTCTTATTTCCAAATAGGGGGTTGTCTACACAAGGAAATTAACTGTCATAATAACATCACTATAACTCCCCATGTGGACACTCTTTGGAAGTGACCTAAACTAATCTGGAAAGAGGCATTCTTACTTTGAAATAAGGGCTTGTCTTCACTACCCGCCCGGATCGGCGGGTAGAAATCGATCTCTCGGGGATCAATTTATCGCGTCTCGTCGGGACGCGATAATCGATCCCCGAATCGACGCGCGTACTCCACCAGCCCAGGTAGGAGTAAGCGCCGTCGACGGGGGAGCCGCGGCGGTCGATTTGCCGCCGTCCTCACAGCGGGGTAAGTCGGATCAGATACGTCGAATTCAGCTACGCTATTCCCGTAGCTGAATTTGTGTATCTGAAATCCTCCCCCCCCCCCCCGTAGTGTAGACATAGCCTAAGTATGTCCACAACAGGAGTTATAGTGGTACAGCTATAGTGGCATAATTATGTTGGTAAATTTTCCCATGTGGACAAACCCTAAGTATCCATCCTCCAAGGGCTCTATGCTCTTTTGTTCTAAATTAGCAGCAATGTTTTTTGTGTGTTAATTGTCCTCACTCCAGGTGTTAACTTGAATGGAACCTGCTTTCCACCTTTCAGTTTAGATTCACATACTTTTATGATTGTCTTCACACTATTTCTACTCCGGACCAAATATAAATTGACAGATTAATTCTGATCTACAACAGTCATCAGTATTGGTAATCATTGGTGTTCTCGGTACAAGTCAGGCTGGAATATGGAGAATTAATTGTGTTCCTGTCCCTGGAGGTGTAGTCTGTCCAGAATAGGTTTGAGGCCTATCCCCAGGTATTGTGGGAACACTACTGCTTTTTCTGTTTTGAGAACATAGGACTTCAGTTTTTAGTAATGTCAGTCTGGTACCTTTATGTGAACTCTGAACCTCAGTTCAACAAAATCTAGACGTTAGAGTGGTGCAACAGGTAAGAAAAAGAAAACAGTAATGTTGTGATTAGTACTAGGCAGATATAGGGATTGCTTGGATTATTGCATAATCAGATACACATTTATATATCCATCATTCCGAACATTGGTGTTTACTCCGTGGATGCTCTGGGGCTGGAGCACCCACGGGGGAAAAAGCAGCCCCACCAATCAGTCGTGTCCCCCCCCAACGCCTCCCGCCCACCGATGGGCCCTGCTGATCAGCTTCTCTCCCTCCCTCCCTCCCTCCCAGCGCCTCCCACCCGCTGCGATCAGCTGTTCAGCAGCATGTAGGAGGCGCTGGGGGCGGGGAAGGGGAGGAGCAGGGGCAGGAAGAGGTGGAGGGAGGGAGGGGTGCACTCGGGGTAGGGGGCAGAGCAGGAAGAGGCAGGGCTGGGTGAAGGGTGGAGTGGGGTGGGGCTAGGGTAGAGCAGGGGTCGAGCACCCCTGGGAACTCAGTCTGTGCCTCTGGTTCTGAACATTTCAGACCCTTTTATTCTAGAACAGCGTTTGAGACCTAATCATGAGTTCATTGCTGTCTTGGAGTAGAAAATCACAAGTTAAAGAAGAGGCATGGAGCAGAGAGTAAACTATGGCGCAGAGTGAGCTAAGAAAGTTACCTTGGAAAAAAGTCAAGCAATTAAGTTTGAATGCTAGATTGATCTCTGGGGGGAAAAATTACAAAAAATGTTTGTAGGTTGATTGTATTACTGGTGCAGGTAACATCCAATTTTACTTAACATATTAAATTTATCCAGCTTTCAATTTCTGCCACTGTTAAGGTACATGTTGAAATATTAACTATAGAGGACTGGAGAAGGGCAAGGTTAGTGCCTGTCTTTAAAAGGGGAACAAAGTGGACCTGGGGAATTATAGGCCAGTCAGCCTAATTTTGGTACCTGGAAAGATACTGGAACAATTACTAAATAATCAATTTGTAAGCACCTAGAAAATAATAGGGTGATAGATAATGGCCAACATGGATTTATCAAGAATAAATCATGCAAATGTCTTTCTTTGACAGGTTTATTGGCCTAGTGCTGAGATCCACAAAGTGTGGGGTGTGCCCCTGTCAGGGGTGTGGAGGAATGTCTGGTGGGCATGGCAGGGCATGGGCCAGGCCCCACGGGGGGCGGGGAGGGAGCGCCACCCAGCCCCTCCCCGCCCCCAGCTCTGCTCTGGTCCCGCCCCCAGCTGTGTCCCCGGCTCCTGGCCCTGTGCCTGGCCTTGTCCTCAACCTTGGCATGACTCTGCTCCCGGCCCGGGGGCAAGGCTGGGAACGGAGCCTCACCTTGCCGCAGGCCCGGCTCCACTCCTGCCCCTGGCCGTGGCCCCATTCCCGGCCCCACCCCCAGCTGCAGTCCCAGCCTCGGCCCCCTTACCCTGGTACGTGTCTTCTCTTCCCCGCGCCCCCCCAGTCACGGCCCCACTCCTGGCCCCAGCTCTGGAGGGGGAAAGGAGGCCGGGAAAGGGGGAATGTGACCCTCAAAAGTTTGGGGACTGCTGGCCTAGTGGATAGGGAGAAGCCGTAATATGTTTTATCTTGATTTTCATAAGGCTTGTGACACAGTCCCACATGACGTTAGGGAAATGTAGTCTAGATGAAATTACTATAAGGTACCCACCGTAACTGGTTGAAAGACAGGACTCAAAGAGTAATTGTCAATGGTTTGCTGTCAGACTGCGAGGGCATATCTAGTGTGGCCCTGCAGAGGTCTGTTCTGGGTCTGGTACAATTAAATATTTTCATCAATGACTTGGATATTGAGGTGAAGGAGTATGCTTCTAAAATTTGCAGATGACACCCAGCTAGGAGGGATTGCAAGCACTTTGGAGGGCTGGATTAGAATTCAAAACAATCCTGACAAATTAGAGAATTGGTCTGAATTCAATACAATGAAATTAAGTGAAGTGCAAAGTACTTCACTTGGGAAGGAAAAATCAAATGCACAGCTACAAAATGGAGAACAACTGCCTAGGCAGTAGTACTGCTGACTAGGATCTGGGGGTTATAGCAGATCACCCGTTGAACATGAGCCAACAATATGATGTGGTTGCCAAAAAGGCTAATATCTTTGAGACACAAGGGTGGGTGAGGTCGTATCTTTTATTGGACCAACTTCTGTTAATGAGAGAGACAAGATTTCAGGTATGTTTGGTCTTGAGAAAAGAAGACTGAAGAAGGCCTTGCCTACAGTCTTCAAATATGTTAAGGGCTGTTACCAAGGGGATGGTGATCAATTTTTTTTTTCCATGTCAACTAAAGGAAGTACAAGAGGAAATCAGATTAATCTGCAGCAAGGGACATTTAGGTTAGAATGTTAGGGACGATCAGGTTAGAATTCTAGTTAGAAATAGTTAAGTATCGGAATAGGTTGCAGGTTGTAGAATCCCCATCACTTAAAGTATTTTAAGGTGAGGTTAGACAAACACTGCCAGAGATGATCTAGGTGTATGCTGGTCTTCCGGGGGAGGGGGGGAAGGGGTAGACTAGATGACCTCTTGACGCAAGCACCAACTTTTCCTTTTTGCTGGGGGTGCTCAACCCCCGCTTCGCCATGAGGCCCTGCCCCCACTCCGCCCCTTCCCTCAAGGCTTTGCCCTTGCCCCACCTCTTCCTGCCCCCATTCCCCAAGGCTCCCGCTCAACTGCCTCTTTGCGCTCCCCCAATCCCCTCCCTAAGCCACCAAACAGCTGTTTGGCAGTGGCACCCCCTATCAGCTTCTTTGGTGGCGGGACAGTCCCCATCAGCTGCTGGGCAGTGGCGGCGGTGCCCCCGCCATCAGCTGATGAGCGGGGACAAGGAACAGCTGTGGCCGGTGGATGCTGAGCACCCACTATTTTTTTCAATGGGTGCTCCAGCCCGGAGCACTGACAGAGTTGCGCCTATGCCTCTTGAGGTCTCTTCCAGCCCTATATTTCTATGATTCTATTTTTACCATATGCTTCCATGTTGTTTCCATTAAAACAAAACTACTACAATCTGTTCTTACATCATATAATTGAAAGCTTGAATCAATCTCTTATTCCTAATGCCAACCCTGTGTTTTCTGCAGCCTGGGTGAGTTCCCTGTCCATGGGAATGATTTTCTTCTGCTCTCCCTTAGTCAGTGTATTCACAGACATATTTGGTTGTCGAATAATAGCCATTGTTGGAGCTGCAGTGGGGTTTGTTGGACTTCTTTTAAGCTCTTTTGTAAGGTAAGAATTCTGCTTTCTTCCTTTGATATTATATCTATGATGGCAGGTACTCTTGCTATATTCACTGTCATAAATGAATATTTTGTGCTCAGTTATGTGTAACCTAAGCCAATTCAGTGTGTTGCTTGTCCTCCTCAAGTAGTGGCTATGCTAAACAGAGGTTCATGAGTCTGCTGCTGGCTTTGAACCAGCAGAGCTGGACCTATTAGGTCGGGCACTAGAGGCTCATGCTTTAAGATCCAGAGGTCCCAATTTCACTTCTCACTGCCAATGACCCATAGCCATAGCATTATGTATGATAAACATTACAGATTGTGCAACTCTACTAGCTGGGTGCAAGGAAACTTGTTTTATTCTTTCATAAACTACGTTGTTTGACATTATCAGACATAAATCTTCCTCCTTTTACATGGTTAAATTTGTAAATACTACCAAATAAATTAAAGCAATGCTGTTGAAACATTTTAGTAAATTAAAAAAGCCTGAAAACTTTTGTTTTAAGGTTCTGCAATTAACTTTAACTCTGATCCTGTATCAACTCATCCTCTATCCAGAAACTTCCTTTCTCTCAACCATCAAGTCTAATCTATAATTTTTCTCTTGACTCCAAAACTTCACCTCATATGTTAAATATACAGATCCAAGTGACTCCTCATTTCAGCCACAGACCCTCCTTCAGACTACCTGATGTTTGTGGCAAAACATGTGAATATCTTTACCAGTATAGATCTTTTAATACTTACACAGTACTTTTCATATTAAACATTTTACCAACATTAACATACGGTACAGAAGCAATACTGTTCCCCATCATTCCTGTGTGAAAGTGTTAACCAATTCTACTCCATCCACCCTCTTTGGCTCTAGAAAGCTCACTGTATTTACATCATTCATTTCCCCTTTGAATCGAAGACCTTATCTTTCTTCCCCCCCACCTCCCCACACACACTTTTATCCATCCTCACATTGCTTGCTGATGCCAGAATGACATGATCACCAGCATATGCTGAGGCACAGACATCGAATCTATTACTTTTTCACTCCTATGCAGTGTAGTTGTAACTGTGTTGGTCCCAGAATATTAGAGAGACAACGTGGGTGAGGACAGTAATATTGGTCCAATAAAAGAGATTACCTCACCTACTTTGTCTCTTTTTCACTTGTTAACAGATACGAAAAGTTTGTAGAGTTGTAATATTTACACTAGTTCTTCATTAAGTAAAGGTGAAGAGAACACACAGGGTCAGTTAAGGTTATTTTTAGAAACTCAGAGGGCCGCTGTCAACTTAAAAATTACATTTTAAAATACATTTTTATTTTCTATTGAAAACACTTCAGAAATATCAGTGAAATTTGTCTTCAAATTGGATTTATTTTTCTAAAATTTTACAACCTGTTTTCATCTGATGAATCGCAAGAAATTGAAGAGCATTTGGCACATGGTATTTGTTATGTAAATTAGCACAAGCGTATCTTGTATCATGTTCGTGAACTGGTATGGAACCTGCATGTACTCAAGGTCTCCCTAATCTCCACACATGGTGCCCCTCACAATACCATATGGTTGACCAACAAACCAGTCATGAAGCACTTCTCTTCTGCAGAAGGGGCCTTTGATTCACCCTGAATCTCATTCCTCTGAAGCGATTATATGGTCTAGTGCAGCCTTTCTCAAACTCAGGTCCATGGACCCCTGGGGTCTCTGAGGGTACTCCAGGGGGTCCATGGGCTCTGCTGATCAACTCCTCCTCCTCCCTCTATTTCCCAGAGGCTACTGAAGCCAAACCGGGAGATTTTAGGTGCTAAAAGTCTGGTGGGGCTAAGGCAGGCTCCCTGCCTACCCTGGCTCCATGCCACAAGTGGAAGTGGCTGGCACGTCCCTGCGGCCCGAGGAGCCAGGGGGTCTCTGCGCACTGTCCCTGCCCCGAGTGCTGACTCCTCAGCTTCCATTGGCTGGGAACTGCAGCCAATGTGAGCTGTGGGGACGGTGCCTGCAGGCAGGGGCAGCACACACAGACCCTCTGGCCCCCCGCCTAGGAGCCGCTGACAGAGAGATGTGCCGGTCGCTTTCAGGAGCCGCCCGAGGTAAGCGCCACCTGGCCAGAGCCCTCACACCTTCTCGCACCCCAACCCTTTCCCAGCCCAGAGCCTGCACCCCGAACCTCCTCCTGCACCCAAACTCCCTCCCAGAGCCCGCACCCCCTCCCACACCCCAACTCCCCTGCCCCAGCCTGGTGAAAGTGAGTGAGGTGGAGGAGAGCGAGCGACGGAGGGAGGGGAGATGGAGTGAGTGGGAGTTGGGAAGAGGTGGGGTGGGGCTGGAACTTGGGAGAAGGGATGGAGTGGGGGCCAGGCCTGGGGCTGAGTGGGGGGAGCTTGGGGTCCCTGAAAAATTTTACATCAAAATGAGGGTCCTCGGGTTGCTAAAGTTTGAGAAGCGCTGGTCTAGTATATGCACACTGGGGGATTGAGAAACTGGGAACCAGTTCTTTCTCATACACCACTAGGAAAGGGGGCCCAGGGAACCAGATCACTTCTTTTAATTCCTTCCAGGGAAAAAGGTGTGGGGCTCATAAATAGGGTGACCAGATGTCCCGATTTTATAGGGACAGTCCTGATTTTTTTGGGGCTTTGTCTTATATAAGTGCCTATTATCCCCCCACCCCCGTCCCGATTTTTCACACTAGCTGTTTGGTCACCCTACTCATAAATAATTCCGTTTCTCTTAACTATCCTGACTCCACAACCATCTAAACAGGTAGGGAGATATTCAAGAGCCAGATTGCAGGAGGAGCTTGATACATTAGTGATACCATGTGCTCTCTGACACTTGCAGGAGGGGCATACTCTTATTGGCTATGCTCTTTGTGCTCCTAGGTTGGTGATTATATATGTTCTGGAAATGTTTATTATTTTTAACAACAAAACAAAAGATCCCCTCAGGGCCGCCCAGAGGGGGGGCAAGTGGGGCAATTTGCCCCAGGCCCCGGGCCTCGCAGGGGCCCCCACGAGAATATAGTATTCTATAGTATTTCAACTTTTTTTTGTGGAAGGGCCCCCCGAAATTGTTTTGCCCCAGGCCCCCTGAATCCTCTGGGCGGCCCTGGATCCCCTTAGGTTTAAAGTAAACAACAAAACACACAGTTTCCCAAGTCAGTTAGCTAATAAATTAAGCTGTCAATGTGGCTTAAGATCCAAATGTTTAGTTTAACATATTTTATTAGATATTCTGGGGTAGATTTTCAAAGGTCTTACTCTCACTGAAAGTCAATGGGAATGAGGTACCTGTGGTCTGTGTCTTTGTAAATCTTCCCTCAATACTGTGTTAATTTGATATGTATTCCTAATCATAATTCCATTTTAATTAAGCATTTTTGGGTCCAGGAATGCGTTGTTACTTTCCTCTGAAACCAGATACATTTCCTCTCTGTATTTCCTTGGTATCCATTGCGACTTAAAGATGGAAGAAGCAGGTGGAAGGAAGTGAATTTTTAAAGATATCGAATTAGCTTACTTGAACTTTGCTTTAATACTGTTCTTCAGTCTGTAAAATGACTTATGCCTATGATCTAATCAAAAAGTAGATGAAGGCATAGTTTAGATGTAGAAAAGTACAGTATGCATTTGCTCTAAAAATAAACTTCATGCAGCCAATCAATGTGGCTATGATTGTGTTACATCTGTTATTTTTAATATGAAACCTATCCACTAAGAGGCAAAGATGTAGGAAGTGTGCATGTAGGAGAAATATTTTACTATATGTATGTGGGTCCGGCTGGAGAATCTTGCCTGTATGCTCGGGGTTCTACTGATCGCCATATTTGGGGTCGGGAAGGAATTTTCCTCCAGGGTAAATTGGCAGAGGCCCTGGAGGTTTTTTGCCTTCCTCCGCAGCATAGGGCAGGGGTCGCAAGCTGGAGGATTCTCTGCGACTTGAAGTCTTTAAATCACGATCTGGAGACTTCAACAGCTGAGATAAGGGAAATTGGGTGGGTCAGCTTTTGTGGCCTGCATCATGCGGGAGGTCAGACTAGATGACCATAATGGTCCCTTCTGACCTTAAAGTCTATGAGTCTATGTTGTGTGCATTTAACTCTTTCAAAGGAATCGAATGCTGGAGATATGATTTACCATTTACAAAAGTGGTTCTGGTTTGTCATGATCAGATTATACCCTTTCTGATGCTTATTAGTTTCTCTTTAATTATTTTCTCTTTTATTTTTCACTGATTGATGGTCATAAAAGCTAATCAGTCTTACTTGTTTACTCTTTTGTCTTATTTTGCTGCTGTTGGTCCCCTTTCATAAAATATGGGTCATAAATTGATCTGCAGAGTTTAGAGCAGCAAACTTCTTATGGGGGTAGAACATTGTGCAAGTATTCCCTCCTATAGGGAATACTTCTCTCTCCCCCCCCCCCCACCTCAGGTACATTATTAGTCAAATAGAATTTTCTGAGACGTTCTGCAGTTCCATAGAATGTTTTCAGAGGTATACTCTGGCAAGAAGGAGGTGACACAGGCAGCTTTCTGTCCTACAATGAAAAACAACTCAGTGTTTATGCACTTATATTATTTGGAAAAAAACTCCTAGGTACTGTTAGAATTAACCCACTTATTAGTAAAGACTTAAAATATATTTTTAGTTGCTAAAATTTTGTTCAGTAATGGAACGCAACTAGGGCTGTGTACAATGGGATTATAGAGCTTTGCAAATGGTCACATAATTTACCTGTTTTAGCCAATATGCTTCATATATCCACAAACTGATTCTTCAAGTAGTGTCCCTATGGGTGCTCCATTCTAGATGAGCTTGCACCCCCTGCAACTTTGATTGTAGATTTTTCAGAGCAGTGTCTGTTCAGTCTGTGCATGCGAGTTACTCAGTCTTATGCTCCGAGCTCTTGTGATATAGCACTGCCTCGGCGAACAGCCCTCAGTTCCTTCTCAACTGCCTCGGCTTGATACGGAGCCTCAGTCTGTGCCGAGTTTTACCTCAACT